AAATCAGTTGAGTTCAGAGACGACAAACAGGTGAAACAACAAGCAATTTTAAAGCTCAAGCGAAAACCCCCTAAAAATTAGGGTTTTAATCATTAATCGGTAAACCAACAGATAGGCTCATGAACTCACGTAAATCTCCCAAAATTAGGGTTTTTAACATCAAATAGACCTAGAGCTGATAAGCGTATGAATCGAATGAAACCTTAACAAACAGACTCAAACAAGAATCCCAAAATTAGGGCTTTTCAACATGCTTACTTAGATAAGGGAAACAAATCAACAAAGTACAGAAAACATGCCAAGAACAAGGGGGGAGGGGGATTCGAAACAACTTAACATAAAACCATAATTAAAAGAACAAAGAGTTTTGAAAGCAAAAATTAGGGAAACCTCGAGAAACATGCTCAGAAAGTTCAAACACACATAGATCTGGAGCAGATCTAAGAATAAATCGAAGGAACCTTAGAGCTAGGGTTTCATAAGAAACCCAGGTGACGAGAAAGGCTTTGGAAACCATCGATCTGAGCGGGATAGTCGAAGATCGAACTCGAATGGCCATGGCTAGCCGGACAGAGGTTGAAGATGACCGGAGAACAGCCATCGAGCAAAGCTTGGTCGAGACCTTTTCAAGATCTGGTCATAGGACCTTAGAGATGAGCCCATAGAAGCCATGGATTAGGGTTTCGATGGGAGGCGGCGGCTAGGGTTTTGAGAGAGCTCGAGAGATGAGAGCGTTTGAAGGCGGCGGATTGGGAAAATGAGATAGGGTTAGGCGGACGTGTGAATTAAAAAAGGTAAGAAGTAACGGTGGCCGTTAATCTAAATGATGAACGACCGAGATTTAAAAGGATATGGGTTGGGTCGGTTGAAAATGTACTTGGTCGGGTTGGAATGTTAATTGGGCTGGGTAATTGGGTTTTAAATTGGGGCTGAAATGGGGTGCCAAATTGGCTATAATTGAAATGCAATAAAGGCTAAACCGTAAATAGCTAATTTTCCCCTTTTAATTTTTATAAAATAGTAATACAGATTTTAAAAACAAATTAAACGTACTGGGTAAATAAGTATTATATAAATATTAATTAAAAAATGCTGGGATTAATTTTATAAACATAAAATGCCATAAATTACAAGATAGGTTATAATTGCAATTATATGCAATTTAGCTTTAAAAATACCAAACAAATTTGTAAAAACATGCGAAAATTACCTTAATTATATTTAGGTGTAAATGTGAAAATAAAATGAATTATTCACCAAAATGATAATTTTGAGAATAATTATTGGATTTTGTTGTGTAAAAATAGGCAATAAATTGGTTTTAAAAATCATTAAAAATGTCAAAACTCTTGGATGTGCTTATATATGCACCAATATGCTATTTTGGAAATATTTGGGTATAAAAATACTTAGGGAAAAATTGGGTATCAACAGGGCTCACGTCTCGAAATTGAGTAAAAGTTACCAAATAAGAACACCCACTCACTCACGAGTTCACTCGTACCAAAATTATCCAAATCCCACTCAAAACTCAAAAATTTAATTGGGGAACTTTTGCCCCATTTTCCCAACTTTCTCACTCAAATTCCTTGATTAAATGAGGAAAACAACAATAAATGAATGAAATGTGATCAAAATAGGATTAGGAATCGTTACCCAAAGATCTCCTCTGAAAAACTCTCGAAAAATCGCCTTCCTCCGAGCTTAAAATCGAATTTTGTGAAATGAACATTGAACCCTCGAATCTGCCCCTTTTTTGCCCAGTGATTTCCGCTTCTGCGATCCCAGGACCGCATCTGCGGTCCCGCGCCTGCGGCTGGGACTTCGCATCTGCGGTGCCGCGTCTGCGCCTGGGACTCAATATCTGCGAGTTTTCATTAAACTCCCAGAGTCCGTACTTGCGCTCCTTCGTCCGCATCTACGGATGCACTTCCATAGCTAATTGTCCGCTTCTGCTGAGCCATGGATCCTCTCACCTCTGCATCTGCGACTACCCTTCTGCAGATGCGGCTCAGCTCCTGCGGCACCCTTGTCGTTACACTTAGAATGCAAAACTGAAGGTTAAAATTAAAGATGACCTATCGGGTCATCACAGAACGCAATAATAATTTATTAATAATAGAGAGCAAAGGTTGAACAATGCAATTGAATAATTGAGTAACTATAGATGGAGACACAAGGTATGGATGGGTTTAAATAGCAGTCCATTCGAAATTCTTTGCCTTGTTTAACTCCCATCTATTACTGTCATTTATTATATTAACCAGTCTTTTAGTACACGCGCTGCGCGTCTACCCTATTTTGATTATATGTAAAATTTAAAAACTATATGTAAAACAATATGTAAAAAATTTCATTAATATTATATTAAAACTATGGTTGACTCACAAATAAAAAATAAGTTTTTGAAATTGATAATATTGATCTTGTAAATCAATAATTATGAAACTGCTTCCCTAGTCGAAATCTTCAATCATCATTCCATATATTCAACTTAAATAAATTTCACTTCTATAATTTTATCTTCTCGACTTCATAGTTTCAAACAAGAACATCATATTTTCTTGGAATATCTTATGAAAATTATGGTTGTTAATAATCTAATTAAGAATTCGAAAATGTTACATTATTGTTGTAACTTGTTTTTGGAAAAACTAAGAGTGATGATTGACAAATCTATTATAATCTAGTATTGATGATTCTCCTCTTATTTATGCCTATTAATGTACCTTCTCTATCAGACTCGGAGCCATTCTCTTATGCTTGGCTCCGACACTAATAGGCATAGTACGAGTTATTTGACTCCGAAGCTATTTTACGTATCATCTTTAAATGTTACTCTTCTTTGACATCAGGTGTAGGCAGTGAGTGGCGGACGCATGTGGAAGCAAACAGGTTCAACTGAAGCCGCTTCATCAAAAAATAATACTGTGTATATGTATAAATTTCGATTAAAGTTGCATAAATTTTGTATAAATATTTTATTTGAAAACCACTTGACAACTATTGTTTTAAAGGACTAAAGTTATGTACTTCTTGAATCCGCTTGCACAAAATGCTTGAGTCTTGCCACTAGTTGTAAGTGTCGTCATTAATGATCCTACATGGCGAGTCTAGTTTCCACTAATTCACCTTTGGATCATTTTACTTGGTGAGAAAAATAAAGTTATTACTCTCGAAGGTGAGGGAGGGTAAGAGACAAAACATATTGGCCAAAGAAGGTAATAAAGTGAAATATAAGGACGACCAGGCAAAGAAAAGTACATGAACCCGAAATTTAAGAAAAGGCATAGTATAAAAGATCGAGAGATGTGAAGTTGGTACTAGGGTTTTGTTCGAAATGGCCGAAGAGCAACGGAGCTTCCCCGTAGATACTGATGATTGAGCATATATGGGATGACATGCTTTTATGCCAAAGGCGCTTCAAAGGAGCATCGCCGTCTATTTCAAGAAATATATCAAGATACACCGTCAAGATTTTGTGTAACCGATTGTTGTTTCTTTCTACTACTCCTTCCTTATATATATATATATATATATATATATATATATATAAAATTTGTGATGTATTCATCAATTGTTGTTAATTTGTGGTGCTCTAAGCTCATAAATGTGTTGTTCTCTTAGCTTGAGGTGGCAAGTTCAGCCCGTAAATGTGTACCCCTTCCCAAGCTTGAATGTGTTGTGTCACTAACTAGAGAGTGTCAGAATGGGTTGGACACGGAATTACCATCAAAATACTGTGTTAAATGGGTCAAAACAAGTGTAAACCAATCAAACCCAATGGGTCACAGTTAAGTGTTTTTCACCAGCTAGTAACAGGGGGAAACTTTTGAACCAGCAAAGAACCATAGATGTTTTAAGCAGCTTCTGGGATTTCGTTCTGACCTAATTGCTGTCACATTTTAAATATTAAATGAAGTCTATTTTGGAATGCTCAACACGTTTAAATTACAGTTTTTACCAAGCTTTTTTTTGGATAAGGACATTTTTTACCAAGTTTTTGGATCATTTACCCTAAACTCAAGTTTCAAAATGAATTTTTGAACAAAATCAAAGTCAAAAAAAATGTTGGATGCTTTTTATTATTTTATACAGCCAATTTAACCTCCTAAAAGCAACAAAAGAGGAAGGAGATAAAATCTCATGTGAAAATGAAGTCATAACCCAACAAGAAAACTGTTTTTGACTGGTATAATAACTGAGAGAATAAGAAAAGAAGTTCAGAGCATTGGTAGTTCAAAAAGGCATTGAGTGAGATAAAGAATGATTAATTACTCCAGGAGCATTTTTGGTACGTTAAGCGAGGTTGATGAAAAAGTAGTTTGGTCATGTTAGATGGGTTGGGTCATAACGTGTTATTATATCCATCTTGACCCAGCCCATATTGGTGCAAGCAAAGTTTGAGTTAGGTTGGGTTATGACCTGTTCAATGACATGACCAATTTTGATCCACCCAAGTTTAACTTAACTCGCCCGTCCGTTTGACACCCCTGTAATCTTAGCTCTCACTTTTCTGCCCAAATCCAGCATTGCCCCCCTCGGCCACCTTATCTTATCCATGTGTTACAGATGTGCCAAGCTGAGCCAAGATAACTTAGAATATCCCAAGCTCTGCCCACTCTGAGCGTCCCTGAGCTTTTAGAGACTTAAGTGCGGCAGAAAAAATTGTGGTGCTTACTTACAAGTCATTTTTTCTTGGATACCTTTTCAAAATAAATATAGGAATTCATGGTTGTTTCTGTGGTGCTTTTAGCCCTAGTGTTTAAGTGATTCGTCTCCCTTGATTAGCCCCCGGTTCTCGTTAAGCTAATCGACCAAATACTAATAGAGCATTTTAGCTCAATGCAGTTGAATTTCTTCTCATGATTGGATATATTTTCTTTGACTTGTGCTTGCTTTAACTTATCTCTGTATATTTGAAATATGGACAGATGTGTGCAATTCAGTTAGACCCTCTTTCGTTAAAGATATAGATATGTATTCATGACTGATTGGCTTAATTGACAGGGTTTCGACATTGACATCTATCCTGGTGATGCTAAGGCAGCTACATATATACCATATCTGGATTTTGAGAAAGAAATTGGCATGCTGATGGAACTGGCTAACCATGCTATTGAGGATTACAACAATAGGGAAACCACTGTATGCCTTATCTTTTCTTGCTTTGTGTGAATAATCTCCTCAACGCCAATATCCTCACAGTATATTCTTTATGTCTTCTAGGTTTACAAATACAAGGTTTTGTGTATTGAAAAAGTGAACTATCTTCGGGCCAAATGTCGTGAATTTTTCATAACTGTTGAAGCTGAAAATCTCACTCTGCGGCGTTTAGCTATAGAAGCCTTTCAAATCCATGCATATAAGGGACCACATGGGGAGAATATTGTCCGTCTTTGCAGAAAAAGGGTGCTGATATGAGGTATACAATCTATGGATCATTTGCTAGATGGCTCATAGTGCTATTTTTTTGTCGTTTCGTCTGTTGAAATGGGAATTATGAGATGATTTACTTGTGGATGGGCCTTCTTCCGAGGAATTCACAGGAAAAACACTATACTAAATAAATGATGAATTTAAGGAGAAGGGCTATAGAAATATTCCTTTTTATCTGAGCTTTATCTTCAGTTACAGAGATATTTAGTAGGTGAAATTTGATGACATTGAAACTTGGAAACTGCTGTTACTGGACCTTTTGTCTTGGGGAAAATAAAAATTTGATTAAATTAAATATAATAAGGTAATAACTGATGACTTGCCTCCAATTGCAGCAGGTGGTCTAGCCGTCAAAGAGTTGAAGTTCTAATTTGTTTTGGTTGTATCTATCTAGACTAGAGGAAGCATCGCAGGAGGCAAGGAAAGAGAGTTGAACTTTAGTTTTCTATATCATGTGCTAGTTGAGAAACATTATATGATATGTAATTGAAGTGGATTGTACTTGTTGTCTAAATTATGTATTGCCTATGCTCTTCTAGTTGTAATTAGGATTCGTATTGGTAAAGTGGAATTTGTTTCACCATATATGTGTGAATTTATTCTAGTATAGAGCCTTGAGTTGCAGTAAGTGACTTTGTTAGTCGGCCTTTTCATGTAAACTAAATTATACTACTGATATGGAGTATAACCATAATATTTAGTTTTTTCAAGTACAAAGGAAGTAACACCATTTGTAATTAGTTCTTCCTAAATCAAACAGTAAAAAGTATTCTCAATAAATTAGATTCATCAAAAGAAAAAAGACCGCCAATGAGCTAGTATTGTTATGAGATACTGTATATGATTTGTTTATCAATCAACATAAAACTATGACTTGTTTTCAACCATAAGAAAGTATTGTTATGCACGAAGCTTGCCTTACACAAAACAATCTAAAGAGGAGGATTACAACATTACGTATGTCAAGATATGATGGCTATAAACCTTAGAACTATGTTGCAATTCATTGGTATGTGTTCCTCACGACAGTGCAAGCTGGAAGCTGCGACAGAGTGGAAGAATTTTCAAACATGAATCACGTGGATAATATGACCAAGGATGCTTTGACAGGAAAATAGAGCTCATAAACAATCTAAAATACAGTAGGACCCTCTTAGTGATATTATTTCATTAATATATTTTTATTCATAAACCCAATACAAGCACCAAACTGAAATCTTAAAAATAAAATATATGTTGCTGAAGAGTAAATGAGATCAATCTTTGTGAGTTTTCCAAAGGAACTAGTGTTAAAGTATAAGCAAAGTTATTGCTTAATGAGCAATGGAGAACTACTAAGATCTTCAATTTCACAGAGAAAATCATAGTATAAGAAAGGATCATCGTGATATTAGAGCATTTGAAGAATTTCCGCCTATGACCAAAAGGTAGGTACCATATAATAGGGACATTTGAAACACATCAGTCTGATAACTTGCTTAAGACATCAAAAGGTACACAGCAAAGAAACACTCTACACAGGAAGACTCCTAACCAACAAAAATCAACATTCATGAAGCTCTGCAATTACAGAGTACTAGAAACTGAAAGGAAAATATATGCAAACAGTAACCACAAAGATATGAATGAGTCTCCATCTCTTTTTATACGTATATGTAACAGAAAATCAAACTATCTGAAACTTAATACTGCCCACAAGTAGCAACTGTATATGCCCATGCAGCTTCATTAGGAATCCCCCCAATTATTCCAGCACTAAACTCAAACTTGATGGAAAATCAACCGACAAACTGAAGATTACCTATGTCCAGACAACTCACAAGGTAATTTGAACTAGTTTGCACGCACAGATATTAACAAAGGGAAGTTTTACTTTTCTTCAAGAAAACCAGGCACAAAATGTTTGTATACCCTAGGTTGTAAATTCCATGACTATAGCACAGATATTAACAAAGGGAAGTTTTACTTTTCTTCAAGAAAACCAGGCACAAAATGTTTGTATACCCTAGGTTGTAAATTCCATGACTATAGCAACATAATATAATTCTTGACGCACGATTATAGAACTACATTTTCACTCTCTTCGTCTGTCATTCTCCTATCTATTTAATGTTTTATTCCTCTCACCATTCACAGAAACCGTAGAAACAAAGGAGAAAACTCAACAGAACTCAGATATACAGCAGATGCCAAGCAGAGAGTTATCATCGAAAGAGTTACAGACCAGAGAGAGGAGGAGCAGAAATTTGGAGAGACACTGAAAGAGCAGCAATAGAAAGTAAGAGAGAATAGGACTTCCGCATATATGTTTACATGGTAGAATTCAGTATGGAGAGGAATGAGTTTCTTTAACTGCATTCCCACACATGAAAAGAGAATAAAAGACCCTTGCCTTTGGATTTCTGTGAGCACTCAAAAATTTCAACGATCCCAACATACCCTTTGTCAGAAGCTTTTCGATACAACATCAGATGCAAACGCCAATTTTTCAAAGACTTGCAGCACAGAGATTACTTCCTTAAGACAAGCATATTTTCGTACTATCTCTACCTCTTACTATGGTTTGCATAATATCTGATTTCAGTGCCACAGACACATATGATGCAAGAGAAGAAAGTGGAGCAAGCTAAGCTTGCTATACCTAAGCAATAACACAATTTTATGCACTAATTTCATACGGTAGGTAGAAGCATCGTACAGTGTATAAGCTAGAATAACGCATTTTCGCTGCTGATCAAACTTATGAGCTTCCTCACCGCACTCTCATATTCCCCAAAAACAACACGATTCCCCTCATCTTGCATTATCATTGTTCGGGCAGAAGCTAGCAAGGGATGGTGACACGAAGAGAAACAGAATATAAGAGAGATGAAGGCAACAGTATAGGCCGAGACATAAAAAAGTAAATTATTCTTAGTATACAGTACACCAAAAAGTGAAAAAAGATAAAGAGAGAGAGTTCTTCAGCTTCACAAGGCTTGCCAGATAAGTGAAATAACTTCAAAGCTCAAAAAGAGTGTTATGAATACCTCTATGGCTCTATCTGCAGATTCACTGATCCAATTGGTCTTCTACCACAGCCCTTATGTTTGCAAAGATAATAGGGGAAGCTTCTGGAGAGGCAGAACATCAGGAAGAAATCAAGAGGATTACCGAAAAACCTCAGAACACGTACTTGTCATAGTCCTTTAATTAAGCCTTAAACAACAATTACTACTCAATCACAAAATGACACGTAAATTGTCTCAGAAATTAAAGAGAGAGAGAAAGAAGATTAGCCAATAAGCCACAAAATGTTTGTATTTCCAGGTAGTAAATCCTATGACTACAGTAACATAATTATTAATGAGGCATTGTTGTACTTCTGTGCAATTGAAATATTGACTGTAGAGCTACCAAGCTCATTGTCCTCCATATTACGCATTGTGCTCTTGCCGTTCAAACCATAACTTGGTGATCTAGCACAAAAAGTTCATTTTTTGAGACTGATTAGTGAAGAAAATTTTTCTCTTGCTGCTAGGACTAAAGCCCGACATTCTATACCATAATTACAAACATGGTCATTATAAAAATTCTTACCCCCAAAATACCAATATACCTGCTAAAAAAAACCAATAAATTTTTAACCCCTCTCAGTCATCAAACCTGCAATACCAAATTCCTCTCCACCCTCTGCTCGGCAACACAAAAATGGATTAGGTACATGCAAACAAAGACGGATTGATACATGCGCCAAGATATATATATTTCCTATTTCTTAACATGTGTCTACATCAGGTACAATACTGACATTCATGTAACAAAATCCAGCAAGAAAGGTTATAAAGAAAATAAAAACTAGTAATAAATATCCATCAAACACTCATAATACAAGAAACATAATTACAAAGGAGAAAACCTCAGCAGAAATCACAGATATCCTAATCCCTCAAATTTCTCTCAATTGATTAAAAGCTTTTGCAGAACAGATCTCATAGAATCTTTGATTTGAAACTCGCAGACACATCCTAATGCGTCTTGAAGTCATACATTTTGATGTCGATGCTCTTGAAACATTCAGGAGCTGAAAGACTGAGAATCCTTGGTGTCAGTAGCATCATTAGACTGTACATGATTATAGAAAAGTTGATTAATTAGATTTATTAGAAACGAAACATGAAAAAATCACAGATAATATCAAAACAACCACTTTTTTTTTTAACTTAATAAAAAATAATATTAGTATGAAAGACCTCCTGTAGAAAAAGGAGCGTCTCTCTACACAAAGTTATTCCGCTGCCAGTAGGCCTAAAGACCTATACTTCAGGATCTGAATTGAGCGATTCTTTGAAAACAACTTTCATTCCTCTCTTTCCAGAGCACCCAACAGACACAAGCAGGAACAGTAATCCAGTATTCTTTAGTTGTCTTACGAGGACAGCAGCACCTCCAGCAAATCAGTAGGTCTTATAACGATTGTGGCAAAATTACACTGTCCAAAAAACTGCTACACATCTCTTTCGTCCGCCCTAGACCCACCCACCAAATGTTTCCAAGTTGATGTTTTTTTTAGCACGCGTGCCTCCGTCCGAAAAAAAGATGTATATTCCGGACATTTTGTCGTGGGTGCTACTAGAAAAAATTGTTATCCGACCGATGGATTCCCCGGTTTTTGGATTTTCATTTCTTTATGTAAAAAAGAGTTGGATCAAAGGCCTCGTCTCTGTACCAGTTGCTTTGCTACCCGACAATTTAAGAACAGGTGATTGCAGGTCTCCTCATCTTCATAACACAAAATACATCTGCTACACAGAGCAGACTCCTTCTCTGTAGATTAATATGGGTGAGATCAGCTTCGTATGCAGCAACCCACAAAAATATCTGAACTAGCCCCTTCACCTCCCAGAAAAATTGCCTTCTAAAATTAAGGTTCCAAGCATTTCAACTTCGACTCTGCCAGATTGTGACTTCTGTATCCATCATCAGATTATAGAAATGTGGGATTCCAATTGTTGAGGAACAGGTAACTATCCGGGCAGTACAAGAAAAAGACATTAGAACTATTTAAGAAGATCAGCTATAATGAAATAGGAATCAGATAAACCTTTAGTATCAGCGGAAGTGTAGAAAGCTCAACCAAGAGCAACTCCCTCAGATCACTGTTGACACTATGAAAGGTTTCATCTATACAACAACAACAACAACCCAGTATAATCCCACAAATGGGGTATGGGGAGGGTAGTGTGTACGCACACCTTAGCCCTGCCCTGGGGGTAGGAAGGCTATTTCCGAAAAAGGTTTCATCTATAGCAAGCAAAAAACAAAAAAAAACAAAAAAAAAAGAGAGAAATAAATGAGTAATAAACATAAAACCCTTTTCACCACAGGTATGAAAAATGAGTCCATATAAACAAATCAACAGTAATTTATAAGCACAAGAGAGGCCAATGAAGGTGTCCCAGAAGTAGGAGTGCAACTATTTGGACCTAATTTTGTAAAAGGCAACGATTTATTCTTTCCTTTGGCGCCATCCTTATAATTTTACTGTTTTAACCAGAAACAAACAAGACCCTACCATGTGATGAAGTCAGGTCTCTCAATCGGAGGATCTCTACTATAGGTGGACAATAAAACGTACACCTCAATCCT